AGCCAGCCTGCCACATAGGATGTGCTATTTAGATAGGTAAATAAAGGTTTTTCATAATTAAATAAATCCAAAAAAATAAAGAAAACTTAGAAAATTCATAAATAAGAGTTTTTCAGAATTAATAAAACCACAAAATTAAAGATAAAGCATAAAAATGTGAAATAAAATTCTACAAACTCAAAAAAATATAAATAATAAAAGAGAAATAAAATCAAAGCCTAATAGCTCTCAATTAATTTTGGATTTAATTAAAGCCTTCGAAATCATTAATAAATTATTATAATTAAGATTAAATCAAAATTAAATAAATATTGGCCACTGATGGTTGTTCGTCTAAATATTCTTCCCTAATTTTTTCCAAGGATTGAAACAACTATTTAATTAGAAAATTCTATGGAAAAATAAATAAAATAAAAAAAAATAAAAGTAAAAAAATATATAAAATCTCCTTATAAATTTATAATGAAGTGGTAAATCTATGCAATGAAATAGTGATCTCATGTGTTTGCATTCATTTGAATCGCTTAAAAAGAGTAAGGGTATATTTGTAAATTGTTAATTTACATTTGAACCCATTTATTTTGTATATTCTATTGAAAACAGAGAATTAAGCTTTAAAACTTTCAAAATATGATCTATTGAATACTTCCAATGATGTGATCAAGTTGGATTTTGAAGTGGTTGATTGAATTGTAGAAGAAAATAAATCTATAATTACTTGAATGTTGATTTGCTTTTATAAAATTCACTAAATCTCAATTAATGCAAAGTTTAGTAGAAATATTTAGTTCACTAATTTAATCATGTATTAAAAATTTGGTGAGATCTGTAAGCATAATAGATCAAACAATCATAATGTAGTGGATTTTGAAATTTTGGAAGCAATTAAGAGTACATTTGTAATTTCCCTAAAATTATAAATATGATCCTACTACTTTAACATTCCTTGAAGAAAAATTCACAACCTTAAATGGTATTTTTTAAGAAAAACATCATTTCTTATAATGTAATTAACTTTGCCCTTATAGGAAGTTAGCTACCGAGATTAGTCTATATGCCCTATTTAGATTTTGTATTAAGCAAGAGAAAGATCTATTGGTACATCACAGACCAAGAAAATATCCCAAATTTCTTAATTTAAATAATCAAACTCATTACGAAGTCATATTTTCATCTTTTTAGATGTTATATTACTTTTGATATCTTATTTGGTTATTTAGATAATTAAAGATTCAAGATCTATTTGATTATTATTTCAAATCAAAATTAAAATAAAATCAACAGATTTTCCCAGCGACTCCGCTAGAGACTAACTTTTCCTTATACATCGATAGTGTGTCTATTCCCATATATACCATACTATATTTCTTATGTTGGTATATCTTGTTCATTTCATTCTCGAGCAAGTATAACAAACACAATTAGTTGATTCTAGAACCGTTCATTTAATCACTTTTAAATGAATGTATTCTAGAATCTTCAAAATTTGAAAAATTGAATCCCAAATAAAAGAAATAAACTACTCATCAAATAAAATGAAAATAAAAAAAAAATTCAAAAATTGATTTTCTCAGGTCATAGAACAAGGTCCTTCATTTCTATACTCAATCTCTTCTTTTCCTTTAGGTTTGCTCGTTTATGACAAGAAGAAATGGCTAGCTTTCAAAAAATATACAGTTTATCAGACAAGTCCAGAAGCTCAGCAGTCGTTGGAAAATCTACATAACTAGAATGGAGCACTGAATTAAACTGACATTCCAAATTTTCAAATTTTAAAAATGATTTCTCCTAAGCTGATTTTCTCATTCGTTGTCAGACTGAACTTGGTCATGAGCAAGAGCACTTTGTCTGACGGGTTTGTAATTAATTCTGGATCAGCTTTGATAAGGCTGATGTAACTCTAAGAAATGTAATTGTAGTTGTTGTCTAGTATGAAAAAGTTAAGAATGTGGAACTAGCTGTTGAGTTAAGCTTAAGGTCTAATGAGGAATTCCTCTCACTAAAAAGGGTTCGCACGTTTTGAATAGTTTCTCTGATCAATTCATTTTAAATATATCAATCAAGTCTTCTTGACTATAGAACATGTTGGTAAGTCTCGCCCAACTAATCTGATTTTTTTTTTTCTCGTAAGAATTGGAGTTGATGAGTTTACTAATTTTAAAATTAATGTCCAAATTATATATAGGAATTTGCAAGTCCAAATCACCTAGTTTGATATTCCTCTTTGTAAGGACTGGAGTCGGCATAACTAATATGTTAAAGATATCAAAGTTGATAAATTTCCAATGAATCTTAAGCATACAAGTTTTAAAATTAATTCTTGATAATAACCCAGTTGACTGAACATTTCAACTGAAGGGTTCAACTTCAAATTAAGATTTTCAAATCAAGTTCTTAAAGCAAAAATTCAAAACATTCAAGTAAAGTGAATCACTTAAATACTTAAAGTAAATCATATCCAGTATCCACAATAATTTATCGAGGGAGGCAAACTTTTAATTAACTTCAGCACACAATATCTAATGTCACATCAAGTGTACGATTGTATTCACACTCAAAGTAATTTCATGCCAGGAAGGATGTTGTCTGAGTCCTCTGACTATTTGGTTTGGCCCAAAAGCCCCACAAAATAGCGATTATGATAAGAGCCCTCTGATCGAGTGGTTGCCATCAAATGACAACATTATATTACATTTACGGTCGCATCTCGTATGATCCCTAAATGGCATTCTGGCCTTTGAGTTATGAAGCTAAGATTGATTTAAATTTATCCTATTAGACAAACATTCACCCAGATCCACAAAGGTCCCTTGGACGACACACCCATGATTGCTGACAAATGTCATTCTTTCAATTTGGGTCGACTACCTCCTCTAACAAAGTAGATTAGAAACCACTACGACCCTAGATGACGAAGCCATAAGATCTTGATTTGGTTCATCATCATTTCCCCCACAATCTAGTTTAATCTCTAGATGATAATTTTAATAACTTAAATTGTAAGTCCGATGCTACTATATGTTAAATATTCAGTGTTTACTAACTGGTCTTAATTGAAAGTGCTCTCCCGTTATATGGAAAGGTAATTAACCATAGAAGTTTTTGCCTATGAGAAACCTCAAATCCCATATCAAAAAGTACTCATAACATAAGGGCAAAATCTCTAGGTAGTGTTTCATCTACAATCTAATATGTCTTCTGAAAATTTAACTCTCAGAGCTCTAAATAAAATAAGGGTTTGTTTGGTTCGACGGTAGAAGCGCAGTGTGGGGAGCGGTCGCGACTCTTGGCCATTTGATTCGATGGAAAGCGTGCGGCGGGATGTCATTTTGACGAAACTCAAGCCACGGATTGATATCTGTGACCCAACCCTCAATTACGCAGTTATTTAGTTTTTTGGCCAAAAATTTGACACGCCTAGTGTGCAAAATGGATATGTTATAGAATTTAGAATTTGATTTATATTTCACACACTAGGGATTTTACACAAGTGCACGTGTCATTTCAAGTAATATGGGGTTTTCTTTAAAACCCAGAGCATCGATCCCACAGAGAAGTGATGTAAGAAATCTCTTAGACTAAGTTCTAGTCTACTACTATTAAGTTTTAGTTTGAAATTTTCGAAAAGTTTGATTTTCCAAAATTTACTATTTTATTCTAAAATTAAAGTTACATGAATTAAATAAAAACCTAATTTATGGAGGCTGGTTAAATTTTGGAAAGTTCTTATATAGTCAAAATCTATTTCCCCTTGCAATGAGAACATAATCAGTGTAGAAATCAAATGTTTAGATGTTTAAATGTAATTTTGTGACAAATAGAAGCATACCTATTATTTACACTATTTAAAGTGCATAAAGAACATTGGCTAACATAGAGTTAAGTTCCTATTACTAGTGTTATGCTGGGTACGTTCTAGCCTCTCACTTCTAGATTACCCATCGTGCCCTCTCTTTAGGACAAACCGGTCCTTAAGTTCCAAACTCTAGATCAAATTAGTAAGAATCTAGGTTGTCACCCTATAAACACCAATTTACGCCCATCAAATCTTATATCTCTATCAATTTGCACTAACCAATGGACTACCTTATCACTCACTAGATTAATGAGATCCTTACTTGTTGAGAAATACATAGCTCTCCCAAGTAATTATGGCTTTACAACAAGTTTTAACATACCAATTGGTCAAATTGAATAAGTAAATTAAGTACGAAGTGATGAATCATCACAATTATAGAATAAGAGAAGTCTTAAAAAAATCTAATCCTATATATGATTAATTTTTATTTTAAGGAAAAAGAGTGAGTAAAACTACTCACTAAACATAGAGAAAATACATGATTTCTTCGTTGGAAATGATATTGAAATCATACAACTATAATGAAATAATTCAAGCAAATACAAAAAGAGTCTCAAACTTATCTTTACAGAAGATTCATGCCCTCCTTGCACAACAAATATCAATCCTTTACACTTCTCTCCAATGTCCCAAAAGTCACCAAGACTCTAAAAGACATTAACCCCCTTACACACACGCACACACTCTGGCCTCTCTCACACTCCTTCCCCCCTTCAAGAAACATCAAGCCTCATTTAATATAGCCTTCAAATTTCCTAAGAGTCACTTCAGATGCTCCTTTAAAATTCGTCTAAATAAATTGAATTTTGGGAAAAACTAATTATGGCGCCTAGACGCCCAACAATGGCGCCTAGGCGCTAGCCTTCTAGAAGCCCTGGTTAACTGCCTGACGCATAAGCTCCAGATCCTAGCGCCATGGCGTCGGGCTCTCTGTTTTCACATACAGAGTTTGGCGCCTATGCATCAGAAGCCAGTTCACTTTTTACTGTTTTGCTTCATTTGACCTCATTTTGCTCCATTTTCGTTCTTTTTTCTCCAAAACTTCATCCCTTGTACCTAAAATCAAGAACATGCAAAATATCTTCCATTAAAGTGCAATATCATTAAAAATAAACATAACATGCATATAAAAAAGTAGTACATTTTTAGGTGTATCAGCCCATGACCAGCGTTTGAGCGATGCTTTTTACGCAGGTCACCCCTCGTGCTCCTCTATTATTCAACGAAGTCGATCGCGGCGTATGCAGACCTCCAAAACTGCCATTTTTCCCCTCCTTATGCTCTGCTTGAGCTAATTGGAAAGACAGCGACATGCGCGACAGCTTAGATCTTGCCTCCGATTTCTCGTCCCTCCAGCTTCTGATTCCTTAAAGAGAAGGCAGACAATATCAAAATAGCTTAGAAGAAGGGAGTTGGTTGAGGAGAATAATATGGTCTGGTGGAGCTCGTTTGCCTTGTTATTGTGGAGCTCGTTTGCCTTGTTATTGATTCTGACATGGATCCTGCTACTATCCAGCAGGTGTTGGATCCAACAAAGTTGCTAGTGAATAGAATCATAGTTTGATGCAATTTCTATTTTGATTAACTTTATTTCAGCATAAATTAAAATAATGGTAAATTTTGGTATGAAAATTTTATTTCTTCCACATTTATTTTTGTTGATCATTGAATACCCATGCCTAATCTACTCAATATCATTTTTTGAAATTTTTTATGTGCTATGTGATCAATAATTTGCATTTTTAATAATATGGATTGTTCTTTTTTTAATCTTGAATTTTTTGAGTAGATCGGAGGAAAACGTGAGCTTCATGAGTCTTTCATTGCTTTGAACTCGATAAAATGTGGTGTTTCGACATTTTTTGTTTTTCAAAAGTTATCATCTTCTGCCCCAATATTTTGTTGTTCCTGAAAATGCATGATCAATGTCAACCTTATGATCAATTAGGCATATCGAGATTCTTAATTTGAGGTAGATTAAAAAAAAAATATAGATATTCTTTTATTAGTAAGAGCAATCACACTAGGTATTTGGGATAATTTTTTTTATCACCCCTCTTTAATGAAAAAAATTAATATGCACAATTTTAAATTTAAAAAAAAATTAAAATAACAAAAATAACTTTGTAAGTATTGTACGTATTTAAAGAACAACCTTTTTTTTTTCTTCTCCATTTCACATTTATGTGTGAGCTTTTGTTTAAAGCCCTTTGAAGAAAGTGACAATCTCAGATAGATGGAATGTGACATGAGCGGAATCAAATTATGCTCAAGGAGAAGAATTGCCCACTCTAAAAGTTAAAACTTCTTCATATAAGCCAATAAAAATTAGTAATTATTTTATGTAATTTTAAAATAGAAATTATTTTGGCCTCTTGATATATTTTCTTGCCCAATACTTGCAAAAAATTGACCGATCTAAAATGAAGTTGGATCCACTTTTGGAAGGTGAAGGGGTTAGAGAATGATTGGGTGAGGTTGGAATTGATCTTATGTGCGGAGATAGCTCAACATATGTGGCTGTTGAGGAGGTCGCCTGACAAATGGTAAAGGCAAATCTTATGGATGAGCATGGAGGCAATATTTTAACCTTAAAAACCAAATCCTGAAGGAATTTGGAGTGATGGTTTGCGGCAGAGGCAACAGAGTGAGTGGACAATACACTAGTGTTAGATAAGATGTGGGTTAGCTTTGAGCTGGAGGAGACGCAAGTAGAGTTGGGAGAGGCGGGGAAAATGGAAGATGAAGTGGCTGATAAGCAAGAGAAGAGTTCAAAAAATTGAAATAAAATAAAATAAATAAAATAATAATAACAAGCAAATGTAATCTCAAATCATCCTTAAATTATTGAGAGTAAAAAACTCTTAACATGGAATAAGCAAGAAATCAAGTCCATGATACATAGCATGAAGTTATGGTGGAAGGCAATCAAAAGAAAATTGAAAAAAAATAAAACTATAACTATATATATCGATAATATATATATATATATATATATATAAAATAAGCATAAAGTTAATTTTATGTTAGATTATCGGCGGGACGAGTTTTATTCCAAGTTAATAAATTAAAAATTTAAAAAGGGATAAAATCTCCGCTTGATTTTTCTCTACCGTGACAAAACATGATCAAACAATAAAAAAAATTAATCTGACGAGAATCTCAAGAGTAACGTGTGCATGTGTGCGCACATATTTGCATAAGTTCTGCAAAATACATGCTTGTGGATGTATTGAGCGCATGTGCATTTTTTTTTCTTCTATTGAAGCAAGCCGCATTCCCAAGGGAACTAAACGCTCCTTCTAAGAGTGCTCCAGTCCCAAAGTTTCCTCGTTTCCTATCCTATCCTACAAAATTTAACTAATCAAGAAGATTTTCTCACAGTCCTTGAATGCCTAAAGAACCATAAGTAAATATTGAAAATACAGGTGAGTTTGGAACAGCTTTGCATAAATTTATGTGGTTTCTCTCTCTCTCTCTGTCTCTCTCTGTCTCTCTCTCTCTCTGTCTCTCTCTCTCTCTCTCTATATATATATATATATATCACAATGGCATCCAACGGAGTGATGTTGTAAGCAGTGGCAAAATTAGAACTTTAAATAAGAGAAAAAAACCAAAATATAGGGTGAAGCATCAATACCATAAATGATAGTAACAGAAATTAAAGAAAAATTTTCAAATAATAAATATGATTATATTAAATCATGAGGATGAGACTCACCTCCTGATTGATACTGATGTACCTATGTTACACTAACATGATTAACAACTGATCAAAAAAATCAAAACTGTTAGATCATAACTAACTCAGTTCATCTCCAACACCATACCCGAGCAGCTTAGCTTCCAGACGCTTCCACTATGTCTATATATACCTACAGTACTCTAATGCTATGTAATGGATAGAAATGTTACAGTTTTATACAGAATTCATTCTGCTTTACTTCAGTTTATCTGCTTTCCCCTTTTCGCTCTTCACAACTGTTTTACATGGTATCAGAGCTGCAACAAACTGCAATGGATAAATCAGGTACATCTGATTTAAATGAAGGAATGGCAACTCTCAAAATTTACGACACCTCTATAGTTCACTCCCTAAGATTCCTCTGTATAATATCAAGGTTGTATTTACAATCTCCCTATCTACCAATAATTACCCCCTTTGCAGATCTCAGATGATCGAGATCATAAAGGCTTGGAATGTTGGGATTCCTTGATGGATCCTTTCCTCGAACACCCACCACAACAACAAATGAATCTGGCACAATAATTCCTAATTTTACATATACCACTTGGATGTAACAATGTTCTCAATTATGTCAGCAACCATATTACCATATGGGTTAACTCTAGACAGCTTTTCAGACATTAAAAAAATCTGGAGATGCGCTTAACAGTTTAGCTTAAAATCGAGCTACACAATATTTCAATGAAGAATCAAACAAAGACACGGTACCTTACACAAATCAGCACTCTAGTAGACTATTTCTGCAGCTGGCTGTTGAGATGTGGAGCCTGTAGTAGCATCCACAACCACAGATGAAGGAGCACTCTAGCTCCCTGTGCACAGCGAATCAGCATACCTATGCCAAATCGGCGTCACCTACACCGATCTAAAAGTTACCAGGCGGCGTGACTACGCCGCAATTGAGTGTAGCTACTCCGCGGTCCCTCGTTCCAGGCTTATGGAATAGTAAGCGCAAAATATCTACTCCTCTTGGGCATACGTACGCCTGTGGGTCAATTTCTTTTTCGATTTGGTTCTTAAGGCTCTGAATCAAAGCGAAGGGTGTGTGAACATAAAATTTTCGTACGGAACTCATTATGGTGTTAGAACCGTAAAGGTCGAGAGCATGGATTTCAGCGGTGATTGCTCTTATCCTATCAAAAGAGAATTTGGAGCAAAATTTTGTAAGTTCAAGTGATAGTAGAGAGAAGATCCGTGTTATAATATTTATATATTTTTCCCATTTCTAATGAAATTTTGGTGCGTTGTGGCTTCGTGATTTTTTCACGTTCTCGGAATTTTCTATTTTACATCTTGGTGTATTTTGTGTGACTACTTTGTTGTGAGTTTCCATTCGATATTTTGTTCTAGATTACTCAAACCTATGATCTTATTTTTTGGAGTGTGGTTTTCATTAAAAATTGATTGAAGCCCTCGATATAATCGAACCCATGAAGTGGTATAAAGGCAAGGTTTGTTTTTTCCTGAAGAAATTTAATTCGAATGGGAGTGATGACCGACAAAGCGAGTTACGAAGTGGAGATATTCAATGGACCGAACTTCACGTTCTGGAGAATGCATTTATTTTATCAAATAAAGTTGTATTTGTCAATACAAGGAATCGCCAAAAAGCCTGTAACGATGACTATGGAAGAATGAAAAGTAATGAATCGAATGGCCCTAACTTTGATTTGTCGTCTACTTTTATCGTCTGTTGCATTCAATGTAATGAATGAGAGAGCACTATGGTGGATTTCATGGCGGCACTGATAAAGATATATGAAAAACCTTTTTTTTTCAAATAAGATTTTCTTGATGAAGATTTTATTCACCATAAAGATGAGGGAAGAGAGCTCAGTAGTTGAACATTTGAACAATTTCAACACTATAACTAGCCTGTTGTGTTCTATGAGGATCAAATTTCATCATGAAGTTAGAGCACTGTTGATTCAATTTTCATTGTCAAACTGCTGAGATGGATTAGTCATGGTAGTAACTCTTCAGAGAAAATGAAATTGAACTTCGATGACATCTTAGGTTTAGAGTTGAATAAAGAAGTTTGTAGAAAGACGGCGAACGGTGAATCTTCATGTTTTAAGTTGAATGTTGACCACAGAAAAATATGTCAAAGTTTTAGGAAAAAATAGGTTGAAATCTGGATAGACTCAATGCCTTTTCTCTTCGCTTTCATTCCATTAAATAATAAACTTACAATCTATTTTAGGTACAAAATATTCTGCATAATCTATTTTAGGTAACCTAATAATACATATTCATAATCTAAATATTCAGCTAAAAGGAAATAAATCAGAATAAAAATATTGGAAATAAGAAAGTTTCTAATTATAGAAAGCTTTTAATTTAACTGTCTGATTTCCATCCTTTCTGATTGACATCCCCCATCAAATTGATGCTGACTGGTCAGGAAGCATCAATTTGCCAACAAGAAGCTGATAACATTGTCCGGATAAAAAATCCTCAAGCTGCCGAAACCGAGAGTGTCAAAGCCTAGAAATGTCGAAGCCTGAAAGTGTCGAATCTTCAGAGTGTCAAAGCTCGAGAGGCCGAAGCCTGATAGTGTCGAAGCCCAAGAGGGTCGAAACCCGAGAGGCAGAAATCGAAGCCGGAGAGT